GCCTGAAGGCCAGAAGAGGGCGCCAGACCTCATTAGAGATGGTTGTGAGCCACCATGTGGTTGCTGGGACTTGAACTCAGGACCTTTGGAAGAGTAGACAATGCTCTTAACCACTGAGCCATCTCTCCAGCCCCGAAAATGTTTAAATATTATGAGTCAGTGAGGTAATTTTGTTTGTGTGTGTTTTGCCTTCATGTATGTCTGCACCATGTGTGTTGCCTAGTGTGTGGGCAGAAGAGGTCATCAGATCCCTTGGTACTGGAGTTAAAGATAGTTGTGAGCTACCTTGCAGGTACTGGGAATCAAACCCGGGTTCTCTGGAAGAGCAGCCAGTGTTCTTAACCACCGAGCCATCTCTCCAGCTCCTCCCTCTATTTTTGTTTGAAATCATGAAACTGAGTTTGTAATTTATTTTCGAGACAGGATTTCTCTGTGTAGCCCTGCCTGTCCTGGAACTCACTTTGTAGACCAGTCTGACCTTGAACTTGGTGATCTGCCTGCCTCTGTCTCCTAAATGCTGGGATTAAAGGTGTGTGCCACCACTACCCTACCTAGTTTGGAAAGACCTGACGTCCTCTGGAGCAGGTGGCAACCTGAAAGTTGACAGGGATACAGTGTCCAGAGAGTTGTGCCATGCCAGCACCTTCACTGAGAAGCAGGAATATCACTAGTTACGTCATGTCCTGCATACAGGACAGCATGACAAGCACACCAAGAGAAGGTCCCACCTTTAGAAAGCTTCTGGGCTTAGTGACAGGGATGAGTCTCACACCTGTCTGAGGTATGGGGAACTGATATTTTTTGTTTAGTTTGCTGTGCTTTTCCATTTGAGACAGACTTGAGACAAAGGCTGTGTCACCTAGACGAGCTTCAACTGTAGTCCAGGATGGCCTCATAATTCTACCTCAAGAGCTTGCTGATTTAAGAACATGTATTTTATAAGTCTGTAGATAGTTGTGCAGGTTATGAAGTAAGCCTAAACCCTAAGAAGAAGCCAAAGCAAAGAAATAAGTAGAAAAGGTAGAAATAATCAGAATGACTCTTTGAAAGTAATGGGCTGGAGAAATGGCTCAGAGGTTAAGAGCACTGACTGCTCTTCCAGAGGTTCTGAGTTCAATTCCCAGCAACCACATGGTGGCTCACAACCATCTATAATGAGATCTGGCTCCCTCTTCTGACTTGCAGGCATATATACAGACAGAACACTGTATACATAATAAATAAATATTTAAAAAAAAGTAAAGATGGCAAGACATAGCTCATAGTTCCAAGTAATTTTTAGGGACCCAAGTAGCTCCAGTCTCACTGTCTCTTTGTGACTTTGGGGAGAAAGAAAACTTGGGTTCTGTGCCCCATATAAGAAGATCATCTTACTAGCATGGTGGAGGGAGTGGGAGAAGAGGGCATTATGTGTGTTCTCTGTGAGGACTGGAACGAAAAAGATGTATTAAGAAATGAAGTTCAAGAACCAATTTTACTGGCCTGAAATAGGATTCAGAATTTGGTTTGTTCAGGAGTAATAAAGAATAAAGCAGAGTGAGGTAAAAAATTATACTGAAACCTTTTGTAACTTTACTGGGCCAAGGAAACAGTTCTTTAAGATGCTTTTATTCTTATCCAAACTTGAAGCACTAAGGACTTACATTAGAGGGGAACTGGGGGAAATCCAAAGGATAGGAGTTAGGCTTGCTAGCAGCATGGGTGTGAATGGAATGGATGGAAGGTGGGTTCCAGATGAGGATCCCAGGACACAGTTGAGCTGTTGGTATAAGTTAGGTGAGAGGTGGCTGCTTTGTGTTTTAAGAAGCAGGTGATTGCTAGCCAAATGCAATGTGCCTTTGTTTGGTGTTACAGATGGTAGGACCAGGCCCTGCCAAGGGAGGACAGTAGAGCCTGTGCTGTGTCCAGATGTGCCCAGTACCTGCCCCAAGAAAGTCTGGATCTGGGAAGGAAAATAGAGGGTTTTGTTTGGTTGGTTTTTGGGTTGTTTTGTTTTTGTCTGTTTCTTCCCCTTTAATGCTTTGAAAATGGGAATTGACTAGCCTGTGACAGCATGTGCCTGTGGAAGCACAATTCTCTGGTTTGATTCTTGGAAGGCCTTTTTCTGTCCCTCCCTGGGGGTCATTTGTATCTCTGGTTCCTGTTCCCAGAGCCATAAAGTGGGAGCCCCCATTTATTAATTGGGTTGGGACTGGGGAGGGGGTCGGCAGGGGACTCTTTAGTGTAGCAGGCGGGGGTCTTCCCGAATGAGCCCATTAGCCAGCCCCAACGGCAGCTGAAACGGGGCCGCAGCCAAGTCCTCTCAGTTTCAAAAACCCTCCATCGCCTGCAGCAGATCAGAACAAGGCCTGCGGGAGCCCTTAGCTTCTGATTGCAGCTGTGAGGAAGGACAAAACAATTTATAGGAAGCCAAGTAGCTCCTGTCTCACTGTCTCTTCCTTTCTGACTTTGGAGAGAAAGGAGGCTGGGATGCCGTGTCCATTCCTACTAAGGCTTCTTGCAGGCATGTACAGGCCCACAGTAGGAAAGCAGGAGTGTGTGGGCTTTGATACTTATTTCTCTGCTATGGATGTATTTACGTGGCCTTTCTTCCCATCTACACACACTAATGTTGTCCACTACTTATCTGGGGTTCCCTAGGGAAAACCCAAGTGTGTGTTTAGTCTGGCAACTTGAGGGTGGGGAGACGCAGTCTCCCGTTTGCTTTGTCAAGATCAAAATTAGATCTTAGATCCCTTCCTTAACTTTTCCTCTTACAAGGACTTGGCACTTAAAGGAAGAACTCTTAGGATTCATTTTTCCCCTTTAGTCAAAGTATATTAGAAAAGCATATACTACAGGGGTACTTCTTCCTACAGGGGTATAGAGAAGAGTGACAGGCACAGGTATCAAAGGAGATGAAGGAGCATTTAGGTCTTGCACTTTACTGAATTGAAACATAGATTTCCAGAGCTAGAAAAGAGGTCATGTAGTCCAGCCTGTCCTTTTAGAGCCAGATGCTAAGGCTTAAGGAAGGAAAGTCTGTCTCGTCCACAGTCATGCAGTGAGACTGTTGAGCCATCTATGACAAGCTCCCAGAGGCAGAATTTTAACCTACATGAGTATCAAGTTTTCAACTGTTAGATCGCCTATTCCTGATAACCCAAAGCTACTTCAAGAAAGAAGAAACTTGAGATCCTGAAAGGGGAAAGACACTGAGAACTAAAAGTACATTTAAAGTCATTAGTATGAGACTATGTCATGTATTTCTGTCTTCAAGAATAATCTTTTAGTGACCAAGTGTGGTGACATATACCTTTAATCCCGTGGGTAGAGACAGGCAGATCTTGAAGTCAGCCAAGGCTACGTAGTGAGACCCTGTCTTAAAGAACTGAGACTCATTCTGGGCCAGTAAGATAGCTAAGCTTGTAAAGATGCCTGCTGTCAAGCCTAACAAATTGAGATCCATCCCCAGGACTTACGTGATGGAGCAAGAGAACCAGCTCCTGCAAGTTGTCCTCTGACCTCCACAAATGCACTGTGGCACAGGCACCCCTCATGTACACGTATCATAAACAAATAATGTGATTTTTAAAAAAATCTCTCAATGACATACAAATTAGAGAGAGAGAGAGAGAGAGAGAGAGAGAGAGAGAGAGAGAGAGAGAGAGAGAGAGAGAGAGAGAGAGAGAGAGAGAGAGAGAGAGAGAGAGAGAGAGAGAGAATCTACTTTATTGGGGAAAAAGTGGAAAAAGTGATAGCCACAGCCAAAGATCCAAATGCTGTTAGTTACCCCAAATTTTCAAAGAACCCTTAGCCACAAAGTAGGAGGGCTGATAGTTGGAAAAGATCCTCAGAGGCAACATGAAAAATTCATACTAAATGTCATCTCAGGCTCTTTGGCATTATAATAAAGATATGTTGAAAAGAATCAAAATGTATATATAGAGAAAGCCCTTCTTTAAGGCAAGCCTGGGAGCAGGTGTCTATGAATGGGATATGGAATTATAGGATTCAAGGCAAAACAAACTACTCTCAGATTCAAGACAGTTGAATATTCTACTTCTATTTGTAGGCAGGGGAAAGCAGTGTTTGGTGTTCTTGGACCATGTATAAGGAAAAGTTTTTCACAGTGGTCAGAGCTCTAAATAGGTTTAACAAGTGGGACAGGTTCTGTAAGTCATCTCATCCTGGAGCTGTGTCTACTGCCCTTTCCTATGATTGCTTTCCCTGGACATAGGAAATTGGGAGCCTGTAATAGTAAGGAGGGAAATGCTGAAGGAAGCAGAGAAACACTGGGCAACTTGGAGATAGGTATGGGCTGTGTTAGGGAATCTGCCAAGTGGATATCGTCTGGATAACAAAGGGGTAGATCCCATTATATCAGTTACAGTTAGTCTATTGCACTACAGTTGGTAGAATGGAGGAATGTGGGGTTGATCTCCATGCAAAGGCTTTGTCCCGTCCTAGGAAATAAATGATAGACCTACCTGCCCAAATTGCATCAAGTCTGCTCCTACAACCTTTCTGTTTCATAATCAGGCCATTTTCTGCCTCAGAACTCCTCTTAAAGAAACTTTGTTGGACATGAGAACCTTAAATCCAATATGGTGATCTGGTCTAAAATTAGGTTGCCTCCTCCAAATAACAGCCTTGCATTAACTGTGTATTAACACTAATGCTCATTGCCCTTTCTTTATAGTAATTCCATGTTTCACAACTTCTATTTCTATTGAATTTCCCGATACATGTTTAAGTATTGGGGAATTGGCTTTGCACTTTACCAGCCCGGGAGCTAGTTCCTTGGAAGTAGGAATCTGAAACAGTCAACTCCTCTCAAAGCATTCTTAAGATTCATCTGACAATTTTGGGGGAATTCAAGCTTAAGAGAATTGTAAAACAGTAACTATCACACTATCGCTGGAGGCTGTCAACAATGTAATCTGTGCATGACCAAAGACCCTCTTGGTTGTCTGGTCTCTTGTCTCATGTCTCATATAGCCTCTTACTTTTCTTTACAGATGGCAGCAACAGGAATGGCCCCTGAAGAACTCGGGGACATCCGTCAGTTACCTTGCATCCAGAGCCTGTCAAACAGTCTCATCCACAATACTTGAAGCCAGGTATTGAAGTCTTAAGGACTTAAAGTCAGTCAGAAGCCACTAGCCTGATTTTACATGGAGTAGCACCTCACTCATGGCCAGGGAAGTTTCTTAACCTCTCCTGAGATCTCTAGAAGGGTTCCAGAGCTTTTTATTTGGCCTGTTCTGGGGTCCTACTTTCTAGTTACTAAGTTCTCTTCCAGCTAGAATGGGTGAGCCCCTCCCTAGCAGTAGCAGTCACTTCATTCCTGTGTTGAGACACTCCTCTACAGTTGATACCAACATTGTTACTCTGTTATTGTCAGTCTCTTTTTTTTTTTTTGTTTGTTTTTTGTTTTTGTTTTTTGAGACAGGGTTTCTCTGTAGTTTTGGTGCCTGTCCCGGAACTAGTTCTTGTAGACCAGGCTGGCCTCGAACTCCCAGAGATCCGCCTACCTCTGCCTCCCGAGTGCTGGGATTAAAGGCGTGTGCCACCACCGCCCGGCTACTGTCGGTCTCTTTAGGATAGATGTCTCACTTTCACTTGCCTATACCCCTTCATACACTAAACACTTTTTTCTCAAAAAAAAAAAAAAAAACTTTTTTTTTTTTTGTTTTCTGTCTTTAAGTCAAGATAGGACAGTACTATCTCTTCTCATTCCCTCTAACCACCTTCATTACCTTCTTTCTAGGTTCAGTGGAAGATTCTACCTATCCAGATACTGCCTGAGGCACCCGAAGTAGAGGCCTGCAGCCTGCCTCCTCTGTCTTCAGTACTCAGAACCAGCACCTCCACTTTCCTTCCCTGCTAGTAGGTTGTGCTGTTTCACCCACCTCTCAAATGATGACCTCTATCTGTCTCTCTCTCTTGTGTCTGTTTCTCTCCCTTCCTCCACCCCTCATATGAGATGGGTCTGTAGGTTCTACATTTAGCTTCTCAAGGAATTGTTCAAAGGGAAGTCATTTGTCACTCAGCTCTTTGTCTTAGTAATCTCCAAGTCTTAGTCTTTATAGGCCCCCTTCTAATGCCCGTCACTTTTTCTGTAACTAGAACCATTTCCTCGTTTAGGAAGGGACCAGTAAACAGAGTCTTCGACTCTGGTGAAAAATGACCCAGTAACAAATACCCTTTCTCTTGGAAGCTGCAAGTCTGAAGGCCCACTGGAGAAAGTACCTAGATCTTTTGAGAATATTTATCTAGTGTCTGTTCTGAGGACCAGCATCTTAGGCCAGGCAGTGGTGATACACACTTTTAATCCCAGCACTCAGGAGACAGAGGCAGGTGGATCTCTGGATTTGAGGCCAGCCTGGTCTGTAGAGCTAATAATGGGACAATCGGGGCTATACAAAGAAACCCTGCCTCAAACAACAACAGCAGAAGGACCAGCATCTTACCTCACATACCTCAGGGAGTAGAAAAGGAATAACTGTAGGGTAGAATCAACCACTAGTGTTACTGTTTTAAAAGCAAGAGTGACCACTTTATTCTGGGGCCTGTGGAGAGTTATAAGGGGGTGAGAGCATCTTCCTGCCTCCTGGATGCTAGAGATGACACTGCCTTATCCTTTTGACTCTCTGGCCCCTTTCTCAGCAGTGTTTCTCACACTTCTGCAACCCAGACAGCCAAAGCAACAGGCCTGGATAAGTGTCTAAGTCAGGTGCTACTTCCCCTGGGAGCATGTATGACAGAGTAAGAGAGATAAAGTAGATGTTAGAAAGCAGGAGCTATCCCAGGAAGTAGTCAGGTAGCACATATACTAAATGTTTAGTTCCTTGACGTCAGTAGAGAGCACCAGCACCTACCTCAAAGCAGTCTACCCAGTAGGGCAACTGCAGTTCTGATTTCTACCACACGAGGGCACTGCTTGCCAATTAAAACTCAAGTCCCTCTGAAACAGTTGAATGAGGGCAGCATTCTTTCCAGGGACAGGATCAGAACACTCCCCGAGAGCCAGAGAACCTGGACCAGAAGCCAGAAAAAATAACTACCTATTGTTACTTCTTTAAAATGACCAAGGCCTATTCACTTGGCCCTTCAGGCCTGCTAATTGAGTAGGTGCCTAGCTGAACGTAGAATTTCCAGGTACTCTTTCTTTAAGATAGGCCATTCCTGACTCCAGCTGTCAAACCCACTGCCTCCTTGCCCCAAAGATGTTGAGTTGTAGTCCAGGAGGGTGGGAATGGTTATATTGTAAAGGGGGGAAAGTTTTTTTTACAAATATTCAAAGAAAAGTATCTTTGATGGTGAGAAAGTATTGAGAAACTGAAAACTGAGAAAATGGGTTATCTCATCTCCCACATGACACCCTCTCCAACACAAATTTACAGAATTCAAGTCTAGTAGATCTTTGTATCTGATCAGGCAAAGCACATCCAGGACTCCAGAGAGCTCTGAGCCAAAAATATATCAGAAAACAGCATGACGGGGACTGCTTTGGCGATGAGCCTCATGTCTACCCTATGCCGTGTCATGGCTCTGCTGGGCATGCCAAGTGACGTGGGCCCTATGGGACTGAGGACTCCACAGTTTACCCTCAGACGGCCTTCCAGAATGAACAGGCTTAGGGAAATGACAGAGGTCTTCCTCCTTCCCCCATGCCTGAAGGCCCCTCCCCAGGAGGACAGCTTGATTAAACAGTCGGTGCTGCTGGAATTACTGCACAGCTGGTGCTCCCCCCAGCACCCTGAGCAGAGCAGCAGTGCAGATTAAAATCTCCAATTAGCGTTAAAGTGAAGTGAGGAGGTGCGGAGGCTGCCAAGGCAGCCAGGCCAAAACCCTGAGTTGGCACTCTCGCTTCTACCTAATTCTGAACGCCACCCTTAGTCCTTCCTAACAGTGTCTAGTGTCTGTTAGACTTGTGTCACTTGGGGCCAGAGGAGGACCTTGGGTTGGAAGCAGATACCTTGCCTGGCAAGATGCTAAGACTCCATAGGAAGGAAGAAAATGAGATCATCAATGACTGTCAAGGAGCTGCCCTATGCGCAGCCTACTAGGCAGCCAGGCCATTGTCACATGACGATGCTACTGCTGCTGTTTTTTGCTTAGAGAAAGAGCCAACAGGAAAGGCCTCTCTGAGTTTTTTTATCTAAGGTACTCTGGGACATGGTATTCACATGAGCATTCATCTGTGTATATATTTTATCCTATCTGACCCATCTGTTCCCACCCAAATTATGGCTCCTTCCTTCCTCTCTCCATACTTTTCCCAGCTTTCTTGTAGGCAGGGGTAGACATAGCCAAGCTCAAGAGCATCACCCAGTCTAGAAAAACCAAAAAAAAAAAAAAAAAAGCATCACCCACCACGCCTTGACATCTGGGTCCCAGTCAGTTTCCCTTTATCTTCCTAGTTTGGGAAATATCTGCGGTATACCAAGATGAATCAGACCTTTCCCACCCCTGAACACCTTATCCACACCAAAGATCCCTCTGCTATTTACACTTGTGCTCCTCGCCTATCAGATCCAGAAACAGGGCAGTACAGCTAACCATATGATTGCCCTCTGCCCCTTTAAGAGAAGTGGAGGTGGTGGGTACCCAGATGACTTAACCTACTCACACCTCCAGAAATTAGACACCAGGGCATGGTGCCACCCTCCCAGACTGGCACATGCTACCCTGGCAGAGGTTCAAACACACCCCCCCCATGTCATACTCCTACCCTATGTCTTCCTCTACTCCCTCTCTCCACATCTTTTTTTTTTTTCTCAGCTCAAAGCACAGCTGAGCCTTAAAAGGGGGGAGAGGGTGGAAAGACCAAGCTGGGGCAGGGGGGTGCAGAGCGCCAATAGCACGTTTTCACCTGCCATTTAATTGGATGTATTTTTAATTAATGGGACCTCAGGGACCAACATGAGACAATCTGATCTCTGAATAGGGACAGGGGAGGGATTGGATAAGGGAGGAGGATTGGGCCACTGGGTGCGGTTACCAAGAACCCGGGCCCATCAATCACTGGCCACTTTGCTTTGCGTTCTGGCATGGAGAACAGTGAGGTGGAGGAGGAGGGGAGGCACTGGGGAAAGGTGCCAGGATTTCCCCCCAACTGCCAAGAATTGTGCTGATTGACTCAGGTCTGCAGCCTAAATTTATAGCCAAAATAGTAGGTAAGGCTGTTTTCTTGCTCCTACAGTTGAGTATAAGATTATGAAAGGGAAGTGGAGTTAAACTTAGAAGACCCTGAAGAGAGAGAATAAGAGCTAGGAACTGTAGACCTGGGACTGTGGTCAAGAAGAGAGTTTGGGGCCCATTCTGTACATTTCTATGGGAAATAAGTGCCATAGAGGTTACAGGCAAAACGGCATGCAAATGAAACCTGGTGACTTCAGGTCTGAATCTAAGAGTCTTATTGTTGTAAGAAGGGAACTTGGAGTTCAACTTGCCTGACCCCCTTCATTGTACAGATATGGAATCCAAGACCCAGAGAGGAAGAACCAATGGAATCCTGCTCTGAAGTTGCTTTATGTTTTGGATTTGGAGAGTTCCTGGGAGCACAGGGCAAGAAAAAGTAGGTAGGTAAGGAGGGAAGAAAGCCAAATGAAAACTATAAGCATGATGTTCTGTCCTCCACGTGTCAAGTGACTCTTGTCACGGTCTCCTGAGTGCTGGAAGCAGTTTAGGAAGATCCAGCAGGTGCAGCTAATAAGGGAACATCCCCCTTTGTGCAGCCTGTTCCAGAGGACATTATCCATCTTTGCCTCCAGCCCCTCTCTATAGGATTTTGCCTTCTTTGTGGTGGCGCACGCCTTTAATCCTTCACTCAGGAGGCAGAGGCAGGCGGATCTCTGTGAGTTCAAGAGCAGCCTGATCTACAGAGCAAGTTCCAGGACAGGCTCCAAAGCTACACAGAGAAACCCTCGCTTGAAAAGCTAAAGAGAGAGAAAAAAGAAAGGAATTCATGCAGTATTCTGGCCTTGGAATCTTAGGCCCCTTCTGGTTCTTTTTTTTTTTTTTTTTTTTTTGGTTTTTCGAGACAGGGTTTCTCCGTAGCTTTGGTGCCTGTTCTGGAACCAGCTCTTGAGAACCAGGCTGGCCTTGAACTCCCAGAGATCCGCCTGCCTCTGCCTCCGAGTGCTGGGATTAAAGGTGTGTGCCCTTCTGGTTCTTGTAGTGTTGATTTATCCTAAAGAGAAGGGTACATTTTCAGCTGTCTATATCCCCCGTTCCGTTATTTCCTTCACTGCTCATATGCTAGGGCCAGGGAAAGAAGGGTGAATGGAGGTAAACAGAGGGCTTTCCTACCAAGTTGCCAACGGTGGTATTCTCAGCATTCTCTTCTTTTCTCAAAATCTTCAACATTCGTTGATCTGTGGAGGCTAAACTGGGCTGGAGGCAAGGATAGGATGCAGGGTTAGCAGGCAATACCAATAGAATTTGCTACACTCTCCAGCTCTCATTCTTAACTTCCTTCCATCCCTAGAACTGTCTTCAATAAGCTTAGTAATCTGTTTTTACACTCGGGTCTTTGAGAAAAGCAGGATCTGATCTACCTTAGACTGTCAGAGGCGGTCATGGTCTGATTCTTACAGACAGTGAGAGGCCCTCATATCTCCCTAGGATGATCTGATAAAAACCCTTCTAGACCCCTTCCTGCTTCCAAGGGCCTCAGGGCTGTCCATAGCTGGAAATTGTGACAAAGGCTGTGACAAAGGCTGTCCTATCAGGGAGATGAGGAAGAAGAGAATATAGGATGTCCACATTTTAGAACTGAGACCTAGGGCTGGAGAGATGGTTTAGCCATTAAAGGCTAGGCTCATGGGGGCTGAGGAGATGGCTCAATGGTTAAGAGCACTGACTGCTCTTCCAGAGGTCCCAAGTTCAATTCCCAGCAGCCACATGGTGGCTCACAACCATCTATAATGAGATCTGGTTCTTCTGGTATGCAGGCAGAACACTGCATCATAATAATATACATAAGAATCGTAATCATTTAAAAAAAAAAAAAAAGGCTAGGCTCACAACCAAAAATTTAAGAACTGAGACCTATAGTTCACCTGTGGGACTGGCTGCTCAATGTAGTTCAGGACATTCAAAGTGAATACTGTGTGGGGATAGGTGGCTCTTCACGGAGCTGTTGTTTCTAGTCTGGAACACAGAGCAGTGAAGATTAGCACACAACAAAGGAGGGAAGGTAACTACTTTCTGTATACAAGCCAGCTCTCCTTTTTGCTCTTGGTAATTGGCTCACAGTGTACTGGCGGCATAGGGAAGCATTCACTCTACATTCTGGATGTTCTCTGAGGAATAGAGCTGCTCCAATTCTACCAGGTCTGCCATTTACTCCCAGGGTTGTCCTGGGGTCTTAGATCTATTGCCTTAAGTCCATGACTAGAGCCTGCTCTGAAGTCCAGAATAAACTCAGGCTCTTTGTAGAAAAATACTTAGATAGGACATACATACGGTAGCAGTATCCAGAATTCCCTGTCTTCTAGAGTAAGTCAGCATTGGCCTAGCATTTAGATTTTACTCTAATGAGGCCCTTTTCTTACTTTTTCCTTCAGTTTTCCCATGGGTTTAGAGTAGATCTGGAAATCTGAACCTCTCACCCTGATATTATTATACAAACTGGGCGGTGGTGGCGCACGCCTTTAATCCCTGCACTCAGGAGGCAGAGACAGGCGGATCTCTGTGAGTTCAAGAACAGCCTGGTCTACAAGAGCTAGTTCCAGGACAGGCTCCAAAGCCACAGAGAAACCCTGTCTCGAAAAACCTAAAAAGAAAGAAAGAAAGAAAAGGAAAGAAAAGAAAAGAAAAGAAAAGAAAGCTATTATAACATTATAACAGATCTCCCTGTCTCTTGCAGAGCCACAGACAGAAAGGAAAGCAGAGAAAGGCATTGACAGAGGTACCAGTGCTATGGTGCTAAAAAGAAACAACAGGCCAGAGATTAAGCCAGGAGGAGATGTCTGCTTCTGAAACAGCATACTTGCCCCATCTTCTTCCTTTTACATGCCGCTGAGGTGATAGGACCAAGTGTGCCAGCTCCCCTGGCTGGTGCGCCTGTTCCACTGTTCAGGCAGCCAGGACTCTGCCCTGCACAGAGCACATACTAGAGTCTCACACTCTGTTGCTCACTCATCTCTGTCTGTGTTGCAGATTCCTAAGGATGAAATAGAGGCTGTGGCCCTGTGGTAGGACATTGGTGTGCACTGGGGCTCACTGGATACATACTTGCCTGTCTGTAAGAGGGGGTGGAAGAAGGCTGCTGCAGCTCAGCAGAGCTTGAGGTTCTGGTGACTCACAGTAATGGGGGTGGTTCATGAAAACAACAGAGGGGAAGGGGGATCAAGTCTGCTAGAGTTTTCTTTTGCCCCAGTCCTGCCCACTCTGAGCTCTATAGATGAAAAATCTCTCATCGAGATTAGGAGATGTCCCAGCTATGAAAGAAAGGGAGAGATGAGAAAGAAGTAAGCAGGAGATACTGAATTTTCCTAGTGAAGAAAGACTGAGATATCACCTGCTATCTCCACAGACTACATGGAGAATATTTAACATCCGTTGTGGCAGGGCAGCCCAGAAATCCTGGGTTCCTTCCAAAAGAGAGGTTTTCCTGGCAAACAGCTATTACTATTGTTCCTCAGTAGCCTGACTATGACTTTGTATATCCAGCTAACATAAAACTTGGGGCAAGGGGGGGGGGTGTTGTTTATTTGTTATTGAGACAATCTGATTATGGAGCTGGCCCAAGCTGGACTCCAAAGTCTTCCAACGTGCTGTTACTATAAGCATGTACTACCATGCCTAATGCCAGAAATTTCTTTTTGAAGATTCTTTTATGTGCGTGGGTGTTTTGCCTGCATGTATGTCTGTATGTGAAATGTGTGTCTGGTGACTGTGCGGTAGCCAGAAGCGAGCAGCAGATTTTCTGGAACTGGAGTTACAGATGGTTGTGAGCTGCCATGTGGGTGCTGGGAACTGAACCTCCATCTCTGCAAGAGCAGCAAATGATCTTAACGACTCTGCCATCTCTTCAGCCACAATTTCTTAATAGAAAAACAAAAACAAAGCAAATACTACTACAAGGCCAGACCCAGGAAGGACTGCCACCTGTGCTTAGTGCTCTCCTCACTAGACTCAGACAGGCACCTTGGACCAGAGAAGCATCTAGAGACACTGAGACTGCTGAACAGGGTATTGATGCAGGCTGGGAAATGACAGCAGCCACCCATGTTCAGAAGTGCTGCTCAGGTGTGCATCTCCATCCTCTCTCAGTCCGTGACTGGAATTGACAAAAGGAACAACAGAGATTTTGGATACTGGTATATCTAGGTACATGATAATAAACATCCCGACCTCTGGCCTTATAGAAGAGAGGCTTGGGCGGGTATTCTGTGATAGATTATGAGTTCTTGTTTGTCTTTTTCTGTTCCTTTTATTGTTGGAAGCTCTACTTTCTAACTAGAATGAGGGTGCTCTTCCCATCTACTGGTGATCCAGAAATGACTTTGGTTGGACAAGGACAGATTAACTATTCTTCACGCAGGAAGATGAAGTCAGTTTTCTTCTTCCTCCTTCCTGGCAGTGTAAGGAGCGCTGGGACCCATTACTAAAGCTTAATTCTGACCTAAGCTATCGTATCATCTGGCCCTGGATATAAAGCTTGTACTATGAGGGGAGCCTAGATATACAGTGAGATATGGGCAGGAGTGGGGGACTTTAGCCCCAGAAAAGATACCACATTCTCCTTGATCCTCTTCCTTCCCAAATCCCTTTCTTTACTCCCTTTCACCTCCCACTGGCCAGCTCAGTTCTTGGCCACCTGATTACCTCCAATCTGACCAGATATAGTAAGTAGTTATCCCTCCTTATACACACCTCCTTCCACTTCTTTCTTCACAGCTGAGAGATAGCTGAATTTGAATTGTTTCTACCACTGAATATCACAGGATCTGAATTATATTCCCAGCCTCTGCTGCCCAGCTTGACTCCACAACTGCCTTTGGATTGGGAAGCTCTCATCAGCCCCTGCAAGTATACCCAGGCCTGAACTGCTATGTTTGTGGCATCAAGACCCTGCTCTGGAGTAGAGGGCGGCTTTAGAGGTGCAACTGGGGCCTTGGCCCTAAATGTATGTATGCCTGTGCATTGGGCACACTGGTTTATTAGTGTTATTTCAGCATTGTGATGCAGAGAGAGTAAGTGTAACAGCTGCTCCTTGCTTGCAGTGTTTATTGTTACCTAGAGACAACCTCCTGGCTTTTTCCCAGATTCCCCCCCAAGCCCAGCCCCCTCCCTGCCCTGCCAACAATCCTGTTCTCTCCACACTGATGGGAAATTTATAGCTTGCCTATATCATACCATTAACTCTCTCCTGTCCATAGGGTATATGGGTCAAGGGAAACCAAAGTGGAGATTGGCATGCTTTGGGTCCAGAGTGAAATAATGTATAAAGAACAGAGGGAGGAAGGAGAATTATCCTTCCATTCCATGTCCAATTTTAGGCCCCAGTTCTGCAATCCAAGTAGATCTGACACTGCTTAGTTTCTGAGATCAGTCACATTTGCGGTGGTAGGGCCATAACCCAGTTGATCTCATAGCTCTTGTATGAGAAGAAAAGAAGAAAGAGTTTTGGATCTTGTCTTGACATCCCAGAAGAGCTCCTCTGAACCTAGCCTTGGGATCTTGACATCTTCCTGCCAAAATTATTCTCTTTCCTGACCAACTCTTTAGTCCTTTATTGAGTTGTCTAAATTTGAGCAAATGCAGCAAGATAGTTTTGGAATGGAAGGGGAATACAGAGTGGCAGAATCCACAGCACCTCCTTCTTGTCTGAGCAAGGTAACTGGATGTCACATGGAGGCAGGAGGTTCTAGTTTGAGAAATGCTGGCTAGACCACCACAATGGAATTGATGTCAGACATGAAGCCTGCTGTGGAGCCTGTGGGGAAAACATTTACCTGCTAAGGTCCTAAGAGACTTCAGGCATTCTTCCAGCTGGCCTTCTTGATTTGATTGGAGTTCTCTTCTTCTGCTTGTCTTTCATGGTCCATTTTCTTGAATTGCTCTTAGTTTGATACCTTCGGGTAGATCCAAGTGACTGAGGAGAGAGAAGTGCTCTCCCTATTCATAATCTCAGCAGAGACAGACAGAACCCCTGCCATCTACTTAGGACTTTTCATGGGGGAGAGCCATGTACCTATTCACCATCCACATGGAAGCAGAAGAGAGAGAAAATGATTTTAATGGAAAGGGTTGAATTAAGCATATGGAAAAACTTACTCATGGAATGAAATAGTTCTCTTCATACTCTGTCCTTCTGCCTATAATGAATTTGTCTGTGCCTACCCAAGGAACATTGAGTAACATGGTTCTTTTTCCAGATCGCCTTCACATAGATAGCCTCAGCACAGTTTCCTCATAGTGCAGTACTCTTTGAGACTTTGAAATGTTGTTTTTAGTGTGGTTAGATTGCATTGCAGAGGCATTCCTGAGTTCTGGTCCCAGCCATACTTCCCTAGTTTGAAATGCAAACGGCAGTAATCCCTTGAGAAGCCCACCTCCACATTCTTGGGTATGTCTTACATTTTTGTTCAAGTGCCTTTCTTTCTTTAACTGCAGTGATTAAAATCTCTTAATTCCATTGTTTCAGAACAAATTTTAAAAAATAAATGCAGGGGCTGGAGAGATGGCTCAGCGGTTAAGAGCATTGCCTGCTCTTCCAAAGGTCCTGAGTTCAATTCCCGGCAATCACATGGTGGCTCACAACCATCTGTAATGAGGTCTGGTGCCCTCTTCTGGCCTGCAGGCATACACACAGACAGAATATTGTATACATAATAAATAAATAAATATAAATAAATAAATGCAAATAAACTATGTTTTTCAAGATTGTGACAATTTCATCAGAGTGTATAAAGCCTAATCCTCAAAAGGTCTCAGTCAGCAGTATTTAATACATTCAATTATTATTAGTTTTTGTCTGTTTTATTTTTATGTGTATGGGTGTTCTGCTTCTTTGTCTGTGAACCATGTCTCTACCTGGTACCCACAGACATAAGAAGCTGTCATCAGATCTCCTGGAACTGGAGATACAGATTTGTTATAAGCTACCATGTGGATGCTAGGAGTCAACTCAGGTCCATCTCAAGAGTGATAAGTGCTCTGAATCCTGAGCCATCTCTCCAGCCCCAAATTCTACTGTCTTTATGAACTCGTAGACCTGACATTGCTTAAAGATTGCATGACTCCCTGAAGATTATTTCTATGTGTTTGTGTGTACATACAAGCTTGGGAGATTGTCCAGACATTTCTTCATGATACAAAGGAAAGGTAGCAGTCCCCCTGTAGAGGAAGTAACCACAGTCCCTCTTTTCATTTTTCCTAATTTCTGTCCCTCTATAGCCAAGAGAAAAGCCACTGTTTCCAGACTATATCTAAACTTCATTCAGGATAGATCTGAGAGCAGTAGCCAATAAGAAGTATAGCAACTAGCACTTATCAGGTATTTCAGTTTGTTAAATGTATTTATATACATTATCCTACTGTCTATCCACCAGGCATTTTACTGTGTGTATTTTGTATATATATGTTTAAAGTCTATTGTATTACATAGACTTACTGAAATACAGGGCTCACTTCCTATTGTTTGTTTTAAAGATTTACTTTGATTTATGTGTATGAGTATTTTCTTGCATGTCTGATGTCCACAGAGGCCAGAAGAAGGTGTTGGAGCACCTGGAACTCAAGTTACAGATAATTTTGAGCTGCCATGTGGGTGCTGGGAAGCAAACCTGGGTCCTCTGCAAGAGCAAGTGCTTTTGCCAGATGTGGTGACCCACACATTTAATATCAGCATTTGAGAGGCAGAGGCAGGTGGATCTCTGTGAATTTGAGGAGAGCCTGGTCTACAAAGCAAATGTCAGGAGAGCCAGGGCTACAAAGAGAAACCTTGTCTAGAAAAACAAAATAATAAGAAACAAGTGCTTCTGATTGTTTGTTTTGACACAGGATTTCTCCGTATAGCCCTGGCTGTTCTGGAACTAGCTCTAGACCAGGCTGACCTCAAACACAGATATCCACCTGCCTCTGCCTCCTGAGTAGGATTAAAGTCATGCCTAAGTTTAATTAATTAAAGCTTTCAAACTGAAGAGATGACTAAATGGTTAAGAGTACTTATTAACAAAATAATTTTATCTTGTGTATATGAATGTTTTAACTGCATGTATGTGTATGTATGTATGTCTTCAGGTATATGTAGAAGGTGTGGCAAAAGCTGACATTGGACCAGTGAATGCAGATCAACAACAGACAGACAAGGCAACCTGATACCATCAGGAAACTCCTTGAGGGGCCTCTCACAGGCCCCCAAGCCAAAAGTGGCCCAGTCATTCTCAATACCTGTGGAGGACATGTCTCACCAAGAAAATTAAATCCAGAGCCTTCTGTAAAGGACCATACTGTTTTAATGATGGCATAAACATGGAGGATTAATAAAGGAACTGCTTGTGCCTGTTGATAGGGCAGAACGTAGGTAGGTGGGGAAATTAAATGGAATGCTGGGAGGAGGAAAGCAGAGTGAGGTAGCCACCAGAGACAGACATGCCGAATCTTTCCTGGTAAGCCACTACCAAGTGGTGATATACAGATTAATAAAAATGAGTTAAATCAAGATGTGAGAGTTAGCCAATAAGAGGCTAAAACTAATGGGCCAAGCAGTGATTTAATTAATATAATTTCTGTGTGGTTATTTCGGGGCTAAGCTAGCCGGGTGGCTGGGATGAACAAGCAGGCTCTTTTCCCTGCAACATGTATGTATGTACACTAAGTGTGCGCCAGGTCCCCCTAGACACCAGAAGAGGTCGTTGTACCTCCTAGAACTGGAGTATTACAGGTGATTGTAAGCAGCCACTTGGATTCTGGAAACTGAACCTAGGTCTTTTTCAAGAGCAGTAAGTGTTCTTAACTGCTAAACAGTCTCTCCAACCCACATGGTCTTTTTTTTTTTTTTTTTGATTTATTTATTATGTATACAGTGTTCTGTCTGTATGCTTGTTGGCCAGAAGAGGGCAACAGATCTCATTACAGATGGTTGTGAGCCACCATGTGGTTGCTGGGAATTGAACTCAGGACCTCTGGAAGAGCAGTCAACGCTCTTAACCTCTGAGCCATCTCTCCAGCCCCACATGGTCTTTTTTTTTCATTAGCTGTAGATCAAAGCAGGACCTTGCAAAGCATATACAAGCTCTCTTCTACTGAGTTACATGCCTAGCACTATGCAAGTTTTGAGAGTATCTCGTGTAGTTCTGACTGGCCTTGAACTCTGTGTGTAGCTGAAGGTGACCTTGAACTTTTTTGGGTGTTGGGTTGGGACATGCACATGCTTGGTACATGTGGAGATTAGAAGACAACTTGAGAGGCTAGGTTCTCTTCTCCCATCATGTGGGTTTTGGACTGAACCAGGGTCTTGGGCTTGGCAACAAGCACCTTTACCGGATGAATCATCTTTTAGTATCTCCCTCCCCTTTTTTGACACAGGGTTTCAGGCATCCTGGGCTGGCTTCAAAACTCATTGTAGCCCAAGAAGACCCTAAACTGGTGATCCTCCTGCTTCTGCTTGCTGACTGTTGTTGGGCTTACAGGTGTGAGCATTTTTTTTATTTATATGTTTGCACATGTACACACCACTGAATGCATATGGAGATTTGGGGGGAATACTCTCTTTCTGGGAATTGAACTCAGGTTATCAGGCTTTGGAGGCAGGTGCTTTTGCTCACTGATCATCTCACCAACTCACCTTATATGTTTTTAGATTTTTTGTGTTTGAGAGAGAGTTGACCCAGACCCAGAAGAAAGAATTAGATCCTCAAGAGCTAGAATTACAGGTAGTTAGCTGGGCAGTGGTGATGCACACCTTTAATCTCAGCACTTGGGAGACAAAAGCTAGTGGATCTCTGTGAGTTTGAGGCCAACCTGGTCTACAAGAGCTAGTTCCAGGGCTGGAGAGATGGCTCAGAGGTTAAGAGCATTGCCTCTCTTCCTAGAGGTCCTGAGTTCAATTCCCAGCAACCACATGGTGGCTCACAATCATCTGTAATGGGGTCTGGTGCCCTCTTCTGGCCTGCAGGCATACACACAGAATATTGTAGACATACATACATACATACATACATAAATAAATAAATAAATAAATAAATAAATAAATAAATAAGAAAAGGAGGAGGAAGAGAAGGAGGAGAAGAAAACAGACTAGGTTTGATGGTATACCCCTTTAATCACAGTGCTCAGGAGGATTTTGTGAGTTTGAGGGAGGTCAGTCTGATGTGCATAGTTCTAGGTTAGTCATAACCACATACTAAGACTCTGTCCAGAGGGGAAAAAAGTTGGGAAGATGGTTCATTGAGTAAATATGTCTGCCACATAAGCATGAGGGCCTGAGTTCAGATCCCCCACAAACACATTTGTAACCCAGTATTGGGGTAGGGTGGAAACAGGTGGGTCTCCAGAGTTTATTGACCAGCCATCCTGACCAGTTGGTGACTCTTTGGTTCAGTGAGAGATCCTGCGTCCAAAAAATAAAGTGAAGCGTGATAGAGGAAGATGCCTCAACCTCTAGGATCTACATGCATAATCATACATGTACCCACACATAAATATATTACACATATACACAAAAACAGGAGGCCCCTGAATGGTATCACTTCGCAAAACTAATAAAATGTATCGATAATATTGGCACAGTCCATTAATCTTGTAAATATTTTTGTGTTTTCAATTATCTGTGTGTGTCTTGGGGGTGGCGTATGCATCATGCATATGGAGGTCAGAGAACTACCTATGGAAGTTGATTTTTCTCCTACCAGGTGGGTCCTGGTGATGGAACTCAGGTTGTCAGACTTGGCGACAAGGAGACTTGACTTGCTCACTGGCCCCAAGTTGAGATAGTTGTAGTTTTACTAAGCATATGCATGTGAGTGAATAAGTGCTATGCAGTTTTATGTCCTGTGTTTCATTTATATATCCACCTCTACAGTGAAACTGCTGAGCAGAGGAGCTGGAGTGTAGCTTGGTGGTAGAGGCCCTTCCCCAGCTTGCCTAGCTTTCCCAAGGCTCTGAGTTCAGTCTCCAGTACCCACAGAAAGGAAGGGAAAGAGTGAGAAAGAATGATTTGTAGTTACATCACAGAATCCCATGTGTTTAAGATCACACCCATTCCCACCCCCATTGTGTGTGTATAATATGGAGTCAATTCTCTCATTTCCAGGGTTCGACCCTAGATCGTAAATTTACATAGTCAGCAAGAACCTTTATCCACTGAATCATCAGGCCAGCCATCTACCCATGTCTTAATTCTTGGTGCCGTTAACCTTCCCTCTTCTAAAACTTTACCACTTCAAAGGTGTAATCAATCTGTAACATTTTAGGATTGACTTTTTTCATGCAGTATAATTCCTGGAAATCCATCCAAATTTTTGTATACAACAGTGCTTTATTCTTTTTTTTTTTAGTCCATGGTATAGATAGATCACCACCACTTTATTATGTTCTAGCCTAGCCTATTCTGTTTTTGAGACAGGGTCTTATATATCCCATACTGGCCTTGAACTTCCTATATAGCCAGGGATGATGCTGGACTTCTTAGTTCTGGGATTACAAGTGTGCACCTCCACACATAGTTTATACCATTAATTTAGCCATTCATCTGTTGATGGACAACTGAGCTAATTCTACTTTTGGGGCTACAAATAAGTTCCTTGAACATTGTCTCCAGGTTTTTCTGTGAACATAATTGTTTTTAGGATATGTTTATTACTTTATTATGACACATTATCTATATTTTATTTTTAATTTTATTGATTTTTATTAAGCTCTACATTTTCTCTACTCCCCTCCCTGTCTCTCCCCTCCCCTTCAACCCTCTTCCAAGATCCCCATGCTCCCAGTTTACTTAGGAGATCTTGTCTTTTTCCCATGTAGATTAGATCTATGTATGTCTCAGGGGCCTCATTGTTGTCTAGGTTCTCTGGGATTGTGATTTGTAAGCTGGTTTTCTTTGCTTTATGTTTTAAAACCATTTATGAGTGAGTACATGTGATAATTGTCTTTCTAGGTTTGGGTTACCTCACTCAAAATAATGTTTTCTAGCTCCATCCATTTGTCTTTAAAATTCAAGATGTTGTTCTTTTTCTCTGCTGTGTAGTACTCCACTGTGTAAATGTACCACATTTTCCTTATCCATTCTTCAGTCAAGGGGCATTTAGGTTGTTTCCATGTTCTGGCTATGACAAACAATACTGCTATGAACATAGTTGAGCACATGTCCTTGTGGCACGATTGAGCATCCTTTGGATATATACCCAAAAGTGGTATTACTGGGTCTTGAGGAAGGTTGTTTCTTTTTTCTTTTTTTTTTTCTTTTTTTTTTTTTTTTTTTGGTTTTTCGAGACAGGGTTTCTCTGTGGTTTTGGAGCCTGTCCTGGAACTAGCTCTTGTAGACCAGGCTGTTCTTGAACTCACAGAGATCGGCCTGCCTCTGCCTCCTGAGTGCTGGGATTAAAGGCATGTGCCACCACCGCCCGGCGGAAGGTTGTTTCCTAATTTTCTGAGAAATCGACACACTGGCATCCAAAGGGGCTGTACCAGCTTGCACTCCTACCAGCAATGCAGGAGTGTTCCCTTTATTCCATAACCTCTCCAGCATAAGTTGTCATCAGTGTTTTTGATCTTGGTCATTCCTACAGGTGTAAGATGGAGTTGTTTGGATTTGCATTTTTCTGTTGACTAAGGATGTTGAGCATTTCCTAAAGTATCTTTCAGCCATTTTAGATTCCTCTGTTGAACGTTCTCTGTTTAGATCTGTACTCCATTTTTTTTATTGGATTATTTGTTCTTTTGGTGTCCAATTTTTTGAGTTCTTTGTATATTTTGGAGATCAGCCCTCTGTCTAATGTGGGGTTGGTGAAGATCTTTTCTCATTCTGTAGGCTGTCGTTTTGTCTTGTTGACTGTGTCCTTTGCTTTACAGAAGCTTTTCAGTTTCAGGAGGTCCCATTTATTGTTTCTCTCAGTGTCTGTGCTGCTGGGGTTCTATTTAGGAAGTGGTCTCCTATGCAAATGTGTTCAAGTGTACTTTCTCTTCTATGAGGTTCAGTGTGGCTGGCTTTTTGTTGAGGTCTTTGATCCATTTGGACTTGAGTTTTGTGCATGGTGATAAATATGGATCTAGAACATAATTATTTTTTTTTTCTTTTGAGACAGGGTCTCACTCACTATGTAGATTTGGCTGGCCTGGAACTTGCTATGTAGAGCAGGCTGGCTCATGGCTGCCACTGCTTCCCTATTACTGGAATCAAAGGTATACACCACTGTGCTCAGTAAACATAAACATTTTTAACATTACAAAGTTTTGCTGATCAATAAAGTTTTCTCATTTTGTACTCACTAGCAATGAGTGAAATAGCCCATTTCTCTTGGTTAAGTGTTTTATAGTCACAATTATTAAACTTCTTGACCCTTTGGGCATGGCATTATTATCTCCATTTTGTAAATGAGGATATTTGAAGCTTATAGTAAGTCATTTTCCCAAGATCACTTGCTGTTAAGTGGCAAAGAAGAACTTGGATTCCAAGATAATTGAGGCCTTTCTACCACATTGTTAGCCTCTACATTTAGCTAAGGTTTCTGGGAAGAGTATGGGCAGTACTGGCAGAGAGAGATGCTGGAGGCGAGGATATTTTTGGAGTAACCTGGGTCTAATTGGGACAACATTGGTTCATAGACTCAGAGCAGCTGTACTGAAAAGTGAAGATGCTATGGTGTATACCCCTGATGTGAGTTCCCCTTTAGCAGAGGCTGATATGAATGTAGCCCTTGAGCAATGTCCTTACTGACCTGACACCTGAAATGGGAGAGGAGGATCTGGCTTTTGAATGCCTATCAGAGATCCTCCTTGGAAATGGAGTTGAATGTATCTCAGGTCAGAGGAGCTGGAGGTCCATAGCGAGTGAGCTCTATTCCAGGGGGATAAAGCACGTCGTTGGTGCTTTTTTTGTTGTGTTGTTTTGTTTTGCAAGATAGGGTTTCTCAGTGTAGCCTTGGCTGTCTTGGAACTTGCTCTGTAGACTAGGCTACCCTCGAACTCACAGATTCTCCTGGCTCTGCCTCCCGAGTGCTGACATGAAAGGCGTGTGCCACTACTGCCCCACTTGTTGCTTTTAATGACAAGGGGACTACAGTTCCTTTAGACACACACACACATACTCTTTCCGTGAGCACTGTGGAGAGAGACTGCCAGTCCACTTCATAGTCTCAACTTTACCCCTGTGCTTTTTTTCCCAATATCACGGATATCTAGATCCAGAGAAGCTGGAGAAATCATCTGCCCCTCAGCCGTAGACACAGGTTGCAGATAAGTAGAAATCTATGATAGACAGTAAAGATGACAACTTGCAACCTAGCAGGGGTAGCGCATTTCTTTAGTCCCAGCACTTAGGAGGCAGAAGCAGGCAGTTAGAGGCCAGTTTGGTCTACAGAGCAAGATTCAGGACAGCCAGGGCTACACCAACAAACCCTAAAAACCAAACAAAAAGATGCCAGCTTACAAGAGAGGAAGTTTTGCTCCTCAGAGCCTCCATCTACTTCAAGGTTACCACCTTCCACTTCCTGCTGGTGTTGTTGGCTCTTGTGTGAATGATTTTGCCATTGTTCCCTTGACCTTTTCCAGTAGGTGTGAACCCATAACATCCCCACCCCACCCCCAATTACTTATGGTTTCAGAACCAAAGTGATATTCTCTCTCTCCTCTCCCCTCTCTTCTTTCGCTTATCTGGAATAGCATATCTCCCAGTGGCACCCTATGCCCACCCAATATTTCGGGCATGAAAGACAAACATTGAAGTCAAAACCAAGGATTCTAAGGGGTATGTAGGGCCCACATAAACCAGGGAGCATAAGGGATATGTAGGACCCATGTTGCATTATTGGAATGACTAGAGCTATCCATCCTAAGATTTTTGTCTTGTGATTAGAAGTTCTTAACAAAAAGCAGTTTAGCTCCCACACCCCCTTACTGAGGTTTCCTGACTCAGACATCCTGAATGACACTGAGAAGTCTTCCATGGAGTCTGGATGTTGCCTGACTGGGCTATCTCAAAATCCTGCTCGTTCCCTCTCTTTGGATCCTCTAGTCCAGGTCCCTCCTCTCCCTGGCACCTCTCCCTTCCCATTCCTCCTTTCTCCTCTCTCTCTCTCTCTCTCTCTCAGCAAGTTTTTTATGTGATTACAGGCACTGCATGGTAATTAGTGCTAAACTCATTTGCACAACTACAGTTAATTGGCTACAACAATTAATTAATGTGTTGGAAATTTGGCACTGGAAAAAAAAGTTTGTCATCAAAAAAAAAAAGACAAAAAATTGTAGAGTGAGATACCCATAAAAATCGAGGGCAGGCTTCAAAAGCCCAGCTGGGCCTTCAACTTCAGGCCAGCTTAGATGCCTTCCCCTCTCAACTTCAACGAATTTTCCTCTTTCATTTTTATCTCCTTTTTCTTTTTTCTTTTCTTTTCTCTCTTTTTCCTTTTTTTTTTTTTACAACTTAAGCAAACTCATTTCCCTGATAAAATATAGCATGACTAATGGCTAGAGCATGTAAAAATCATTGGGAAAATGTCCTTGGAAGACGAATGCATTTTCAGCAGAATAATTAACTTAATTAACAAATTCACATGCATATTCATCAGGCTAT